CCTCCTCCTCCTCCTCCTCCTCCTCATACTCCCCATGCTCCCCCTCCCTTTTCCTTGTCCTTATGAATAACTCCTCCCTGCTGCACCCCCAGACGCGGCAGGATGGGCCAGGCGCCTCGCCTGAGGATTCCTGACCGTTTCTTACCCTGACGCTGGAAAGTTGCAAGAGCTTCGCGGATGAAGGGCGGGCGGCTTTCAAAATGCGGCTCTCGCTTTAGCGCTGCGCACACTCGTCTGGAAACTTCTCAAGAGTTCCAAACATGGGGGGGCGATTCTTTTTTCAAAATGTTGACATCGCATTAGCGCAGCGAACGCTCATAATCCAATATTACAAAACTTTAGTGGTCCGAAAGACTGAAGTCCCCGGAACGTTCTGGCAATTTAGAACTGTCAGGACACACGAGTCCCGTTGATGCGCGGTGCTGAAGCCCCAGGAACTGGGTTATGTTACGGTGTCCGATTGCTTGGACGCAACAACCGCATCGAGGATCAGGAATGGTGTTTGGCACGTTTGGGGATTCTCAGGCGGTTAGCCTCCAATGGGGCACCTCCCGCAACGAAACGAAATTCTTGTAGTCACCGGTGCAGAGAGAACTTGGAGGGAGAGATTACCGCAATATCGTTGATGCGCATTGGGTTTACACTGGCCTTATTATTCCTCCTCCTCCTCCTCCTCCTTTTCCTCCTCCTCCTCCTCCTCCTCCTCCTCCTCCCCCTCCTTTCCCTCCCATTCCCCTCATGATTCGTCGTCCTTCTCCTCCAACTTCCGCTGCTCGTCCTCCTGCTCCTCCTCCTCCTCTTCCTATCTTCTAGGCTACAAGCAGGGGAAGATGGTCCCCGAATTTGGTGTGGGCGGGGATTGTTTGGCCACCTCAGAATCCTTCGCAGTTACCAAACCCCTCGCGTCGTGGAACACAAACGTGACGGACGTTTTTCCATGATTTTTATATTCGGTCCCTAATGAAGAACTGGTCCCGGGGAAGGGGTCGACACCTCCGAGGGTCTACGCTGTGAAAAATTCACGACGTCGGGTGCCTGGGTGCCAACACTACCCAGATCAGTGAACCCCTTCCCCAGTGGAGGCGACGTTGGTGTTGGTCGTGATTCTGGGGCCAGGCCAACCAAGAATCTTCAGATGTACCATCACTATTGAGATAACGGGTCCCCCTCCGACAGTGGAGGCGACTTGGGTGTGATTCTGGCGCCATCTAGCAAGCCTCAACGGAACCACCATCAACGAGATCGGGGCCCCACTTCCCCCAATGGAGGCGACTCCCGACCTTCGTGTCTCGTGCCGATATCGGCTTCGTACGCCTCCGACGCTCCACATTAGGATTAAAAGTTGCGCCGCCGCCGCAGCGCTGCAGACACCGTGCAGAGGGGGAACCGAATCCAGGCACCCGGGCGCCGCGAGGAAGGGGAAAAACAAAATTTGTTCGAGCCCTGTCGGCTCCGACTCCCTCGCGGCGCCGGATGCCCAAACCGCCGGCAGCGGGGCCCAGAATGCTCCCGCGCCAGCGCGCCCCCCGTCACGGGCTTGCGACCGTTCGACGTTAGCGGAGGAGGAGGAGGAGGAGGAGGAGGAGGAGGAGGAGGAGGAGGAGGGGGAGGAGGAGGAGGAGGAGGAGGAGGAGGAGGAGGAGGAGGAGGAGGGGCAAGCAGCGGCGTGCCTGGACGGCAGGCGGGGCCCCTCGCAGCAGTTCCGCCCGCCTCTCGTCCTCGTCCCCCATCACTCTGCTGGGTGCTGCTGCTCCTCGTCTTCCAGATCTTGCCCTTCCTCATCTCCTTCCTGCTGCTCCCTCGCCTCCTCTGGCTCCTCCTCGTCGTATTCCGCTTCCTCCCCATCAACTTCCTATTCCTCCGCCAATTCCTACCCTTAGTTGTCCTGACCATCTTCCTGCTCCTCATCCTCCCCATGCTGCTGATGCTCCTCCTCCTTCTCCGAATGATCGCCCCCTCACCTCCCACTCACACACTGCTTCACTAACAAAAACGCACACTCACATTCACATAAGCACGCACACACATACACTTCCTCCTCTGTGTCCTCATCCATCCCGCTTGCGTGTAGATATGTCCTCCGCGTCGCTCCACGAGACGTGTCGGTAGTGCGGGCTTGAGGCGTCGCCTGAGACATCCTCAAAACACGTGATCCTGAAACTTAGATTATGTAACAACTCCACGGTTGAATGTCGGGGCATTTTCAAACGGCCTCTGTCACCCAAGCGTCGCGCACATTTCTCTTAAAGATTTCGATGTAGCTTCGCGGGTTGAGGGCGGTTGGAGTTCAAAATGTCGCTCTCGCCTCAGCGCCAAGGCACCATCGTACAAGTTCCCAGCAGTTACAATGATCGTGAACAGTCTGTTTTAAACAGGAGGCTCCTGCCCTTTCGCCGCGCACATCCGTCGTACAGACTTTCAAGAGGCCACCTCGATGCGGGGCGGTTGGTTTTCGAAATGTGGCTCTCGCCTTAGAGCCGCGCGAGTTAGGATTAAAAGTGCCATGCGGCTGCACGGATTAAGGGTGGCTCCTCGTGAAAACGTGGCTCTCGACTGAGGCATCCTCAGCGTCGATGACCACAAAGCTTGGACCCCCTAGCATACTCATGGATGGAGGGCGTTTTTTCAAATTCGTGGTATCGCCAAAGGCATCCTTGCAGTGTAGGTTCCCAACGCAGCAATCACACGGATGGAGAGCGACCCCTTGACAAAATTCGGTGGACAACTTGCCGATGAGGGTCTCAGAAAAGGTGTGCGAGGCCGGGTGCGAGCCTCACCCGATCTGGATTTCAATGCTCATTCTCCGCGTCAGCGATACTGCTTATGGTATGATGCCGCCAAGGTGTGCGTTCATTCTCGCCTGAGGCTCCGAAGCTTGAAATGCCAAACGGATGCAGGGTGGAATGCGGTACTCTTCTTTTGCTCGGGACCTTCTCTGCTGCCGTGGTGAAGAACTTGAGAGCGCAAGCTTTACAACGCAAGCAGTACCGCAACCAGGATGAAAGGCGAACCCACATGAAACCATCGTTCGTTGTAACACTGCGCGGTCGAAATACTTGTCACATATGCAAGGTCTAAGGAATGATAGGGTTTGTCAGTCTATTCCTCTACCCGTTTCTTTCCACCTTCTCCTCCTCCCTGATATCTTCCACCTCCTCCTCCTCCTCCTCCTCCTCCTCCTCCTCCTCTCTCGCGCCCCCTCTCCATCCAAGTCGAATGCTCCTCATGTTCCTCCGCCTTTTTGTTGCCATTCCCTGAATGCCTCAGCACAGTGCGATTAGGGCCAGCACTGCGAGACGCCTCTGCAGGCCTGAGAAGTGGTGAGCGCAGACCGACAACACCCCCCGCGAGCGGACTCGCGCAACTGGGCCGCTCGATAAGCCACGGGAACGCAGACGACCGCGAGAAGCAACACCGGCACAGAGGCCAGCAGACGGATGGAAGAGGAGCAGGAAGAGGCGGAGGAGCAGGAGGAGGAGGAGGCGGAGGAGCAGGAGGAGGAGGCGGAGGAGGAGGGGAGGAGGAGGAGGAGGAGGCGGAGGAGGAGGAGGCGGAGGAGGAGGGGGAGGAGGATCCGTAGCCATTTGGGCTCAAGTCCGGAGGCATTGCTCGAGCGGACGCGAGTTTTTGGCAAGGGGATTTGCGGCCCCACTGCTTTCTTCCTCTCTCCAGGAGTCCCATCAGTGTATTGAGGCTTGCCTCACGCGCGGTGACGCTCCTCGATCGTTTGCGTTCCATGGGCAGTCTCGGTCGCGGCGATGTCTGGCGCTGTCCCAAGAAGAAGTGTGGTTTCAAGACGAGCTTCGCGTGGAAGAAGCACTGCTGGAAGTGTGGTGCTGAGCGTCCTGTTGTTCCTGCTTCTCCTCCTGTTCGTGCCCCACAGGGGGGCTGGGCCAACGGGCCTCCCAAGGTAGCGAAGGCCAAGCCCAAGCTGCTCGACGAGTCCCAGTTGGCGGTGTTTGTCAAGATGTCCAGTGATGATTTCGCAGCCAGCAAGTCTCTTTTTGGTCCAAGTCAACGTGCCCACGTGTCGGCGCAGCGTGCGCTGGCGGCGGGTGACCCCAAGGCGGTTGCGAAGCACAGTCAGTGGGCTCATGACGAGCTCAAGAGGCAGGTGGCACAGGCCGAGGCCAAGGCCACCAAGCTCGAGAAGGAGGTGCACGAGAAGTTCTTGGAGTTGCTTGCGGCCAAAGCCAAGCTCGGCCAGGCTCAGTCTCAAGATCGGGCTGCTGGTGTCAAGGCTGCGGCAGCGTGGGCGGCGGTCAGTCAGCTGCCTGCGGAAGGTCTCCCTCGTGCGGGTGGAGCTGTTGCGGCAGTCGGTGCGATGACCCTGGTTGTGCTTTGCCCATGCAGTTCGAGTCCCTGTCGCCCAAGCTGGCGGAATCGCTGCGAACGCTCATGACTACGCGCGATGGTCTTCTTCAGCCTGCTGGTGGCGAAGCCAGTGACGATGAGGACAGCGACGATGATGGCGAGGTCCAGATGGTTGACGCCCCTGCGCCTGAGCCTATCCTCTCCGCCGAGGCAGCAGAGCACGCCGCCTTTGGAGAAGGTGGGCGTCCTGCTGCCCCCGTGCGCGCTTCCCCCTTTGCGGAAGGGGCTGCGCCTGTCTCGCTCGATCCTAATGGGGGGGGGGTGGGGGGGCGGGCGGGTCGGGGCGGTCGCATGGGGCTGAGGGCGGCGAGCACTTTGCCAGTGAGTTCGAGTTTTTTGCAGCACCTCACCACCGACGAAGGCTGGGACAAGTTTCTCTCGGCGCGCGGTCTCGCGCGGAAGCAGTGCGACAACATTATCGGTGGTCTCAACGATGCTGCACGCAAGAAGTTTAAGCTCACGCCCTTCGACCCTGCGCCAGTTCCTCAGCAGTGCTCCTAGCCGACAGCGCAAGAAGGCGTGGGCCGTCACCGCGGCCAATGTCGGTGGGCAGCTCGGCTCAGAGGCGTCTTTGTCTGAGTCCATTCACAGCGATGTGCTGCTGTTGCACGGGTCTCGTTCGTTGAAGGCGGCGCCCGCGTCTTTGGAGGCCAAGCTGCGCGAGGCTGGCTGGTCGGCCTCCACGTGCGCAGCTACCCACACGCTCGGCAATCCTTCAGGGGGCTCGGTGGCGGCCACCGTGAAGAGGATCGGCCTGGCGCCCCTTGCTCCTTTTGACGCGGAAAGTGTTCCTGCTCGTGCGTCCGTGCATCACGTCGGCGGCATGGTTGAAGGCGGCTTCCTCGCTGTCAACTTGTACCTGGTTCGTTCGGTCGGCATCAACGAGCAGGATTGGGCTAGATTGTCCAACGTGCGTGCGGGGCTGAAGACCGCTGGGCTGCCCCTCATCGCCGGTGGCGATTGGAACTGCACGGTTGAAGATTTGTAGAGGACGTCCTGGGTCGACGCCATGGACGCTGTGGTGATCGCACCCGAGCATGGCACGTGCAGGCCAGCCTTGAGGTGCATCGACTTTTTCGTGGTTTCGCGCCACATTGCAGGTCAGGCCAGGGCCGAAGTGTTGCACAACGTCCCTATCTCCCCTCACCTTCCTGTCAGGCTTGTCGTCCCGTCGGTCGAACCGATCTGTAAAATGAGGTTTGTGCAGGTTCCTAAGAAGTTCTCCACGCAACTCCCCATCGGCTGTCTCGGGCCCCCTCCTCAAGTCGATCCGTGGGGGCAGGTTGGGCAAGTTTGTTGTGGCCCCGACCTCCTGGCCCAGGAAAAGTGGGATGCCTTCCTGAGGGCCGCCGAGGCCCATTGGTTCTATGTCTTTCAGATTTCTGGGATCCTGTGTGCTGGCTATGTTGGCAAGGATGAACCTCGCCGCGTCCGTTGGAAAACCCCCTTACAAGCCAGTCCCTCCGAGGTTTCCGAAGCTTTCTCCCTCGCCTGTTGGTGGCCCGAAGTGCGCAATTTGCTGGCTGACATCAGCCGTGTGCCGACGGGCCCGTTCAGGTCGCAGCTAGTTGCTGCCGCTGGCCGTCTTTCTCGTTTCCACCGTTTGCCTGACACGGCCGACTACGCCGCGTGGTCGGCGATTCTGAGACACGTTCACTTTCCCCCCATCGACGAGCGCCGCCTGCCTGGCCGAGATGGCCGACAGCGGGGCCAAGAGGGCGCGCGTTGCCTGTGCTCAGGCCAAGGAGAAGGAATGGAACAAATGGGTGGTCTCTCACACGGTCGGGGGCATGTCTACCTTGCGCAAGTTCTCGGGCACCCCCGTCCCGCGGCAGCCCGAAAGTGTTCATCGAGGGGCCCTCAGGCCGTGCACCTCGATCGAGTCGATCGAAGTTCTTGAGGCTGAATGGAGAAAGTGGCGGCAGATTGGAGCGCAGCACCCCCCTCTCCAAGGGCCCGAGCTTGCCCCCACCCCCGCGGCCCACCGTGGCCGAGCAGATGAAAGCTATCAGGAGTTTCAAGGCGACCACTGGCACGGGGTTTCATCAGATTCAGCCTCGCTCGTCCTGGCTTTTGCCGCCCGCTGCCCTGGAGGCGCCGCGTGACATCATTCGCCATGTGGTGGCCTGCTATGTGGAATCGTATTGTGTTCATCCTGGAAATAGCTGGGGGGGAGAGTCAGGCCCCTGGGCCTCTTGCATGATTTGGCTCGTGTGGGGTGCCGCTTGAGACGCCCTCTGGTTCGAGCCTGGCAGCAGGCCAAGGTTCGCTCCTTTTTCTGGCCCACTCATGGGAAGTCGTCCGAGAAATGTGTCTGGATCTAGGCGGCTTTGTCGGATCACTCCACGTGCAAGGCCAGGTCGTGCGCGACCCTTCTGTTAGATCTTAAGAAGGCTTTCGAGTTGGCCCAGCACCATCACTTGATCGCCGCTGCGGCGGGGACCTCGTTCCCAATGTGGCGTTTGTACCTGCTGGTTCAGATTTATCGTGCTCCCAGGGCCCTTGATGTTGGGGGCGAGGTTGGCAACCTCTTGCAGGTTGAGCAAACGATTGGTCCAGGGTGTACTTTTGCCACGTGTGTGTTGCAACTTGTTCTGCTAGGCCCATTGGATGCTGTGCATGCCGCGTGGCCCAGAGCTCAGTTGTCGGTCAATGGTGGCGATTTCGGCCTCAGGCGCTGGGGCGCGGAGTCGCGAGTCGTCGACGACATTTCAGCGGCAGGCAAGCTGCTTGCCCAGTGCCTGAGCAGGGTCGACCTGTGCATCGCGCTGGACAAGTACCGAGTTCTTGGGAATACGGTGGTGGCGAGGCACGGTATCGCTCGTAAGCTGAAGAGCCTCCAGCCCCTTCCCGTTCGGTCTGGGCGCATCCTCGGTGTGGACTTCGGTGCGGGGTTGGTGGCCAGCCGTGGCACCGTCCGTGGGCGCGTTTCTGACATGCGGCCTAGGTCGGTTCGGATGGGTTTCCTGAAGGGCGCCAGGCCCCGTCGCCGCGTGCTCGGGCGCATGGGCGTCTTTGGCGGCTTCGGAGCTGTTTGGGGCTTCGGTCATGGGCACGAATGGTAAGGAGCTGGAGGTCCTTCGAGGCGCGGCTGGGAAGCTGCAAGACCATCACCAGGATGGCAATTCCCGCACCTTGGCTCTGCTCCTGTCGCCTGCGCCCCGCCTGGAACCCATCTTCAGGGCCACGTGGCTTCCCGCCAAGGCCTTCTTTCATGCCCTGTGGCACTCCTGGCTTCTCAAGGATGTGTTAGACTTCGGGATCCGTCAGGCTCATGGGCACTTGTCTGGGCTGGAGCCCCCCCTGGTCCTCCACCAGGGGCCCCTATGGTGCTCTCTGGGCATCGTTACAACGGGTTGGTATCACGGCTACCTCGGCTACCTCTTGGATTTGGCCCGACGGGGCCGACGTCAAACCCACCAACTACTGCCCTGTCACTATCCAGGAGCTCGTGTTTCGTGCGGTGGGGCGCTGGCCGTTTGCCAGAGCTGCTGACCACCATGATCAGCGTGAGTTCGACAGTGGTTTGATCCTGAGCCCCCTGAAGGCCCTGCTTGGCAGCAAGAGTAAGCCCACGGCCCAGCAGAGAGGCCACCTACGTAGGACCATCGTGGGGGGCCAGTGGCCTCAGAAGCGTCAGTGGGCCGACGGATACGACACCACGTCTGCGTGCCTGCTGTGCCCCATGCGCTGAGGGCACGCCTTTGCATAGACGCTGTTCGTGCGGCGTGCGCCTCGACAGCCTTGAAGGGGCCCCTGCCTTCAGAGCCAATGCGGCTCAGGCGGCTGTGCAGTCCTCGCTTGCCCTCCTTTTTGCGGAGCGCTGTTTGGTGCCGTGTCCTGTGCTCGAGAGGCCGCCGCCTGGGCAGCCCGTCTGTTGGGGGCTTGGAGGCCCCGACTGCTTCACTGGCGATGTGTATCCTGACGGTTCGGTTTTTGGAGCAGAGCATCCGAGTCTAGCGAGTGCCGGCTGGGGGTGCGTGGCGCTTCATCCCGATCGGAATCAGGGGGTCGCCTTCTGTGCAGGGCCTGTGCTGGACCCGCAGCAGTGCACTGTTTGCAGCTGAGCCCACTGCTGTCGTTCACGTTCTGCGGCCTGCGACACCACCCGTGCGCATCCTCACCGATTCTGCTCCTGGTGTGGACGGCTTCCACGAGCGTGGACGGGTGGCCGCCACTGCCTGTGTTGCCGCGCGCGCCCATCTCTGGAGGGCACTTCGGCGGCTGGTGGATGACTGAGGAAAATGGGTTCGAGATCTTCAAGGCTAACGGCCATGCGACCGTGGAGGACGTTCTCCTTGGACGCGCCAAGGCCAGGCATAGGTATGGCAGCGCGAAGGCGGACCTTGCCGCCAAGAGTGCTGCTGCGTTCCACCGTGTTGCGTCTGGCGCGCGGGAGCAGCTGCAGGCGCGAGCCAAAGTCATTCAAGCTTGGGGCACATGGATCGGGCGCCTCAGCGACGGCTTGGAGGATTGTGGTCATCCCAAGCGTCACATGCGAGGCAAGTCGCCAGTGCCACAGCTAACTCTGGTCAAGGACCCACCCTCCCAGCGACGTGGTTAGTCGTGCGTTAGCTGCTCAGGAGAAGCTGGGAGAGGGGTCCAGAGTGCATGCCCTTTCCAAGATCCAGCTACAGGGCGGTCCGCTCGTAGTTGGATGTCTGCGCTGTGCTAGCGTTGCCGCTGCTCGCGTCTCGAGCATGTCGGCCCCGTGTCCCCCCCCCCCCAGGCGACGGAGTGGGGGCGGAAGGTGCTCACAAGCTTAGCCAGCAAGCGAGAATGTAGGCTCGATGGTAATGTCTATCGAGTTCTCTCTCTCTCTCTCTCTCGATCGTTTGATAGTTTAGGCCGCAGTGCGTTCCCCTGCCCCTCTTGCGGATGAAGGCCCCCGCCGTGGCTGCAGCGGCGGCTGCCGCGGGGGCCGTACAGACCGATGGGGCGAGGGGGACGCATGCGGTCTCTGTCCGCTCACACGTGGCCTACGGTGGCTGTAAGGTGCGCCCCAGGCCACGTGCGGCATCTGCAGGCTGACGAGCGACAGACTCTGCCGCTCGCCAGGGTTGTGCCTGGGGGGGGGAGGAGGAGGAAGAGGATGCAGCGGAGGAGAGGGAGGAGAGGGAGGCTGAGGAGGAGAGCCCAGGCGGCGAAGCAGAACGTGGCCCAGAACGCGAGAGGCAACAGAGCGACGCTGAGATCACGTGAGCTTCGGACTACAGGTCACGGCGCGAGACTAGAGTCACCATATCAAAGCAGCTAACGACAGCAGGCACAATCGACTGGGGATCCTCCTACTCATCCTCTCCCCCTCCTCCTGTTCCTCCTTCTCCTATTTCTGATTCTCCTGCTGTTCCGCCCTTTTTTCGCAGCAAGAGTGATCACCACGTTCCGTCTGAAGGGATGCGACTCCTCCACATTCCCCTTCCCCGCCTCCTCCCTGACTCCAAGTCCCTCTCCTGCCAGCCTGCAGCTCTCTAGAAACCCCCAGCGCCTACTGAATTCCTCCCGCCCTCCCCGCACTGAACATCACCCTGGGGCCCAGTATTTTACCAGCCTGGAACATATCCCTATCCCTATGCTGGGCACCTCCTCATCACGATGCCAATCTTAGGGATTCCCTTAGTTTTGGGGGGCGAATCCCTAAGATTGTCATCGCCTTTTGGCGTGTCAATCTTAGGGAAAGGGATACGTTCGAGGCTGGTAAGTATTTGCCTGGCCAAGATTGGCGTCGGAGCATCGGCCGGCGCAACATGCGCGACGAGCGAGGCCAGGCAGGGCTCGCCCAAGCCAGTGGGCAACCCCGTGGCAGCCCTGCGGCGCAAACGCCAAGGGAGCTGCGCATCGACCCGATGGCCACGCGCGGCGAGCCGGAACTCGACCCCCGGAATCGGCAGCGCGCCCCGGGGGGGAAGCGAACAAAAAGAAAGGAACAAAAAAGTCTGGACGATGTTGGGAGCATGTTTCTAATAGTTGTTTGTTTCACCTGTTCGAGCATTTTTCCCCATCGTTTCAATATTTGATTTGTTTCGCCCAAGGCCTTCCCAGAAGGGTCGGAAGTCCCTCCGCCTTCTGAGAAGGAGCGACGGCCTCCGAGAAGTCCCGCCGCCTTCTGAGGAGGCCTTCTCCTTCGCCTTCCCCCCCCCCCGGCTCGCCGCCGGCCGAAGAAACCCGACCCCTAACACGTCAGCGGCCAGCTCTCCCAAAACAGAGAGGCCGAGCGCAAGGCTTGTTGAATCCCACAGCAGTTCCTCGTGTCTGCCCATGGGAGTACGTGGCCCACGCACCCTCCGATCCGGATCAGATTTCGGCCAGGGCTGGATCTGACCTGCCCGCGTTGTAGGGTGTTGCCAGGATGTTGACCAGATGCCGAACACATTGGGACCAGCGAAGCGGGGAAGCGACAGCGTAGACAATAAGAGGGGAAAGGGGGGCGAACAAGGTGAGGGCAAATGAGGTTGAGACGGGGGAAGAGGAGGAGAAAATGTGGTTCAACCAACAACGAGATCCGTGCTTCCGCACAGGATTCAACATGTTCTTTACTGGACTAGCACCCCTACGGCACCCCCATAGAACCATGGTGGCAAACGTACGGCAATCCCGCTTGAGTTAAACAACAGCAGGACAGCAACTCTACAACACGCGAAGAGCACACACACACACAACCGATGCAGACAAGACGTGCACGAATCCCCAGACAAGACGTGCCGATGCGCCCCCGTTTGGATGGGGACGTGGGCCGTGCCCTTCAAGCTTCGAGGGTCCTCTCTCCGGTTGGGGTGGGAAGGTGGTGGGGCTGAGATGCGACCGCGCGGTGGGGATGGGGATCGTTTCGACGATACTGGCCTGCGGCCCCGGCGGGCGCCTTTGCATTCGGGCCATACAGGTAGGCCGTCGCGTGGATCGTGGCCTCACATGTAGCTTCATGTCGGGCATCTCTTCCTACAGGCGGGCTCTGGAAGAAACATAGGACATAGTCAGAACATGGTCAAACATTGTCAGACATTTTTGTTCTTGTTTACCCTCACCGGACTAGTTTTACTACTTTGGATCTTCCTCCTGTAGAGGGGCACGCCCGACTGTGATGTAGCGTTTTGCGCATTTTTGCGCGCCCGCTCCGCAGCCCTTACCCACGCCGACCCGCGGCGAGCCAGTGGACCTGCGAAGGGGGAGCCACGCCCTGCGCTCCGCGCTGTCGCCTCGGCACTGGGCCCCCTTGCGGGGCCCCTTTTGCCAGGCTGCTGCGCTGAGGGGGAGGAGGAGGAGGAGGAGGAGGAGGAGGAGGAGGAGGAGGAGGAGGAGGAGGAGGAGGAGGAGGAGGAGGAGGTTAAGGGCAGCCATGGCAAGCCCATCCTCCGAAGCCGTCGACCCGTCTTGCTGAGCTCTACTGGCCTGATCGCCGCCAGCGCCATCCTGACTCCCTTCCAGAGGCGCCCCATTGCGGCGTCCCGCGCACGCCAGGCCAGCAGCTCCTGCAGCAGCCCAGCTAGCAGCACCAGGGCCCCCGGCCAGCAGCGGCAACGGCTCGGAGGTCAGGGTGTCCCGTCTGCCGCGCGAGGCAGGCGGCCTCGTCCCGGAGTCAAGCAACTCATTATGACACACCTCGCAGTCATCACCACCCTCAAGCTGAGCGAAAGGGTCGACCGCGCCATCGTCTTTCATGTGCCGCGGCTGCCGCGGCGCAATGGGCCCAGCAGCGGACGAGGGTCCCGTAGCTAGGGAAGGCGCACCGCTCCTCGGGCGACCAGCGTCACTAAATTAAAAACAGCCATGGCAAGCCCACCCTCCGTAGCCGTCGGCTCGTCCTGCTGAGCACCATTGGCCTGGGCGTTGCCACAGCAGCTCTGGCCCCCTTTCCAGAGGCGCCGCAGCACAGCGTCCCGCAAGCGCCAGTCCAGCAGCTCCTCCTGTAGCCCAGCTGGCAGCGCCAAGGCCCGCGGCCAGCGGCGGCGGCGGCTCGGAGGTCAGGACCCAATCCACCCCGCGCGGCGGGCGGCCTCGCCTCGGCGAGCAGCGAGAGCCGCTTTGGGGCGGAGGCTTCGCGAATTCCTTTCGGAACGCCCGCTATGGCCCCCGCCCCGCACGGATCGACCCTCGGCTCGGCCGCCGAGCTTTGGTGTGGCCAGCCCTGCCGAGCTAGCAGTCCCCGAGGTCGCGGTCGCTGCTGACGGGGGCTCGGCGGCCAGCAGCGGCGGCGCCACGAAGGTGGCGAGGCTGCGAGTGTGCGGGGGGGCCTCCAAGCGCAAGTGCCGTGGCAACGCTGCTCGACCCCCAAGCGCAGGTGCCGTGGCACCGCTGCTCTCCTCGCCAGTGTGCCCCTTCCGCCGTGGGACGTCCAGTACCTCGAGGTCCTCCAGCTCGGCGTCGCGTTCGGCGTCACAGCCGTCGCCGTCTTGGGTCTGCGAGCTCGCAGACCCCGCCTTGGGCCAGAGTCCTCTCGCTAGTCTCCCGAGGTGCTCCAACCCTGTGGCTGTGGGCGGTCCGCGCGGCAGCAGGAGGCCTCGGCCTGGCGCGCGACGCCCAGGCCAGGCGAAACAGCCGCAGCGGCGGCAGGCCCACACGCCCCGAACCATCATGAGCATCATCTGGTGGGGAGGCGTGGACGTCGCAGTCCCCGACGTGCAGCTGCCCCGCCTCGCCTGCAGGCTGCGTGGCCGGCTGCGCGCAGCCGTCGCCCATCGCCTCGAGCCCGCAGCACGGGCTGCGCAACCATGACACGCGGCTGGCGTGGCCCGCCGAAGCGCGGCATCGCGTGCAACTCTTCCCGTCCTCGTGCAGCGGGGGGGAGGTGTTGCAAGCTGCGACCAGGCTCGGCGCGGGGGGCGCTTGGCGTGCGGGCCCCCGCCCGCGGCAGCTTGGGCGTCCAGCGGCGGCGGCAGCGGCCGACGCGTCCAGGGCGGCGCGCAGGAGCCTCCAGCGCACCAGGGAGGCGAGGTGCTCGGCGGCCTCGACCTTCTGGCGCGCCTCGGGGGCCACGCGCGCCAGCTCGGCGGCGTGTCCCGCCAGAGCATCCGCCATCGCGCTGCCCCGCACCACGGCGAGCGGCACCCCACGCTCAAGCGACTCTTCGACGGTGAGGTGCGAGTTCACGTTCTCCACCGTGAAGCCGCTCCTGTGGCGATGGAGGAGGGGGGGGGAGGAGGAGGAGGAGGAGGAGGAGGAGGAGGAGGAGGAGGAGGAGGAGGAGGAGGAGGAGGAGGAGGAGGAGGAGGAGGAAGAGGAGGAGGACAAGGAGGAGGAGAAGGACGAGCCCGAACCTGGGGAGAGAAAGCTCTCATACACTCTTTCCGTCGCAGCGCGGCCGAGCCACTCTGCACGCGCGTCCGAGTGACGCCGTCAATATCTATCTCTCGCTCTCTCTTTCTTTCTTTCTCTCTCTCTCTCTCTCTCACATACAACAAACAAAACGCGATTAGTTAGGTCTCCCCCGCCGCCTTTCCCTGCTCCTCCTCACCCTGCGGCTCGCGCTTCCTCCTATGCAGAAGCACGGGAGCCTTCCAGATGCTTGCCGCGGTGATCACGGCCGCTCCCTCCAGAGCCCCCGTGCGGAGACCTCGCCGCGGGAACGGGGGAGGGACGTGGAGGTGGGGGGGGACAGGACGCGACGAGTGCCAAAGTCGTGAACGCCCCACCAGGGAGCCCTCTCGTGCCAATCCGTGCATGACGTGGCAGGCTGCAGCCTGGACAAAGAGACAAGGACAACACGACATCAGCTCTATGCCCCGCACACATGTGGACTCGTGTGATGACCATCCTCCAGCTCTCCTGGCGGCCCCGACCCGGCACAAGTCGTCCGCTGGCCTGCCTGCACTGTCGCAGCCACGGCACATTTTTTCCGTCGGCGGCGAGACAGGCACTCCGCACCAGCGTAGGGCGACTCGGGGCAACCGAAAGGCGAATTGTCCGGCGCGCAAGAGGACGGAACGAAGACGAGGGCGGTCGCGCGAGGGGAATAGGGGGGAAGGTGGGAGAGTTCATGGCGGAGCCCCAGCACCGCTGCTGCATGAACAGTATCCGGACGCCATCGTCCCACCAAGCGCGTTGCGGACGCCCTCGCTGCCGAATCTCCAGAACCGGGTTCCATTCGAGCGCTCGCTGTGTCCAGCGCGTCGTGGGGGAGGGTGCTCTGGATTGGGTCTTTATCAGAGGGGGCGATTAACATTCTGACTCAGCTTGCCCAATCCCGTCCCCGTCCATGCTCCTCCTCCTCCTCCTCCTCCTCCTCCTCCTCCTCCTCCAACCCTCCCTCCACCCGTTCCGACAGCACGTGCCCAACACCCCCAGCGGATTCAGGGGGGGGGGGCTATAATTGTCCCATCCAGGGCTGCCCAGCGCAAAATTGTAACGCGATGCGTCGGCGATATGCCAACCACCATGGCCCAGACGCCTATTAATCCCCTACCCGCGTGCTTCTAAGACCGAAGACAGGCCGCAGCTCGGTGTCGTCATCCCGTCGAGTGTCGGGTTACGCGACCTCGTCGCCACTGGCATCGCCCTGCAGATCCGGACGGATGAGTAGGTGGATTGCTGCATACGCCCAATTCGCTGGAGGCTCATGAGGTATTGTTGCTGGTGTCGTTGTCAATACTTCGAGCTGCCCTGGAGGTTGTGAGGTTGTGACGCGATGATGGTGATGCGGCCGTGCGCATCCATGGCGTTCCGATTGTCATTGTAACCATTCTTCGCTGTGCTCGGCGTAACTGTTGATCGAGAGGCTCCGCGAAAGTCCATTGCTCTGCGCCACACGCGTACATCATAGTAGGTATCTGCTGGTGCCCATGTATAGTCCCAGTCGGTGGATAATCGGATAGTGTTTGCTGGTGGGCATGCCCGTTCTGCTTGAATCCGGAGATGAGCTCTGTCACAGGGGCATCGTGGAAGGTAGCGACCTGGCCTAGCTACATGGTGGTGTTGGTGTGTCGCAGAGCGGCGATGTCCTTCCCTGCGACTTCGTCCA